CCCGCGCAGGGTTCTGGCTGGATATGGTGGTGCCAGGCGGCCGCTTGTGCCACCCAGCGCCCTCAGGACCATCCCGGCGGTGGTGAGGGGTCGGTGCCCCCTCAGAGCCACGGGAACGGTTCAGGTGTTGTGGGCCAAGTGTAACCCACAGAGGTGGTTTGAGAAAAACTCCTAGAAAGCCACGCATTTAAAAAAAAAATAGGGAAATAGCCCAAAATCAGTAAAAAGGGGCTGATGACATTGCACAGGGGAAAACAATTTAATACATTCTTCTTGCATCAGGAATTACTTGGCAAAGCTGATGGTGCACAGGGGACCAGACTCCAAGATGAAAAGCAAGCCTTGCTGACATGTGAAAGCACAGATTGCACCCTGGATGAATGTGGGCAGGAGCTGGATGAATAAAGAGGTATTAATTCTTACTGCATCTACCATTGAAATGGAATAGAAGTGGGCAACTGTTCAAAAGCAAAGTAGGAGGGAATTAATCTTGGTTTTCTCGTGACCTTTTTTTTTAGGGCTTCACTCACAGCAACAGTTCACCTAAATCCACTTAAAATACTTGCTGTAATAGGAAAAAACCCACCTTTGTCATGCAGAGAAAGGCAAGACATCTAAGAAAAAACATTTGAAAAACTCCCCACCACAAAACTCACCCTGGTATTGGACTTCTGAAACAGGTTCCAAAGAGCAACTCCAAGTGTGTAGGATAAGATCAGGACATCAATACACAATGCTTGTTCTCCATCAGAGAGATTTAATTTATCCTGTCAACATGAGCTAATTAATAATTAAAAAGGGCTCTGTGATCCTTATGTGGGAGGTCCTATAAAATGAAAATTCAAGCAATTTGAGAGGCAGTAGATTCCTGTTTATTCAGAAACATGCTCAGGGATTTACTCTATGATTGTTTCAATTACAGTTTCAGCAGCAAGATTCTGATGTGCATTTATGCATTATGAAAGCTGTGACTGCCCCATCCCTGGAAGTGTCCAAGGCCAGGCTGGAGCAACCTGGGAGGGTGGAAAGTGTTCCTTCCCATGGCAGGGGGTGGAATGAGATGATCTTTGAGGCCCCTTCCAAACCATTCTGTGATTCCTGTTGGTGATTTCTGACTCCTCACATGGGAAGCCTCATGGGGTCCTTCTCACATTAGTTTTCTTTTTAATCCAACTGTGCTGTCTTGAACTTCATCTTTCCAGGGCTAACACGAGGTTTGCCCTATGACAGATCACTTTACAAGTCCAAGTGGACAGGCATTTGGAATTAAGAGTCCAAACAAAGTCAAACCAGGCTGAAATAAACTGCATTTTGGTCTAGCACAAGATTAGCCCTTAAATAAATAAATAGTGATGAGCTGGGGCAGTCTGTACAGCAGATGGCATTACAGGTAACATTTATCACACTCCAGTCTCAGGGCTCACATACTGGGGAGGGAGGATTGACGTCAGCTCCCACTGAATCAGTTTTAAAACAAGCTGGAAACCTGCTTGTGCCTTCAGCAGCTGATTAATTTGTGCAGCACTTCTGCTTTGCACTCCCCAGTGCATTTATTGGTCTGGACAAGCCTAGCAGGAAGAGTTCATTCTGTTTTTGCAGCTTAAGTGAGCTGATGTAAATAGATCTTGGACTTTGAGGTGGGAAGATTCCACCCAGCTGCAGTAACCAGGGGGATGCCCTTTGGTCCAGTTTTGGTGCCAAATTTGTGCATTGGGGAATTTTAAACAAATATCACTTGGCAGGGTATCGACTCTCAGGGTACAAGAATAACACTGAGGAAGGCAGCAGGGCATGGCTGGGAGGGATTTACAGGGAGAACCATCCACACTGACACTGAACAGTGCAGAAAACCAGTTCTGAAGCATTTTAGTAAAAATAGTTGGGGTTTTGTGTCACAGGAGCTCAGAGATCCTCTGAATGAAAACCAGGAGCAGTTTTTTTGTCTGGGCACAACGTCCTCATGCAGGAGTGACAGAGTTCATCAAAGGTTACTAATTACCATGTACATTTTGAGGTTGTCTGGCTGTCTGGACAGACTTGAGTGGGTGACCTGGAGTAGGATCATGGGATCATTAAGATTGGAAAAGACTTCCAAGATCAAGCCCAACCTTTGACCAAATACCCCCACGTGTCACAAAGTGCCACATCTACTTATTTTTTGAGCTCTTTGAGGGGTTGTGACTCCAGCACTCCCCCAGAGAGGCTGTTTGAAAGATTCTCAAGGATGGAGGAGTGTGAAGAGCTCCTGGTGTGCCCTGGCTTGGAGCGTTAGGGAAGCAGAGTGGTGCTCTGCCAAATGAGTCTGTCAGCCCTGAGCTCACCATGTTCCTCAGTGTTTGAGCCGTGGCTGCAGGGCAAAGTGGCACAGAGAGAACCCTTCAGTCCTGGAAAACTCAGCATTGAGGCAAGGAGAACTGAGCTTGAGCTGGGGGGATCCCAGGCTGAGCCAGGGAATGCAGGGCAGGTCACCTTGCACCAGCCTGAGCAGCACAGAACGAGGGTCAGGCCAGGCTGGGCTGGAACCAGACAGGACCTGGATGAGGAAGAGGAAGAAGGAGACTCAAGGAAGGGACGATTCTGTGGGGGAAGCTCTGCAAATATGTGCTTCCCTTTGCTGATAAAGGAGGGTGTGAGAGCAGACAAACAAGGTAGCTCCTCTCAGTGCCTCACACCCTGGCAGCAGCACTCCCTTATCTCCAGCACATTGGCACATTCAGCTGTGCAGCCATTCCCTAACCCACCACTCTGGGCCTGGGCTGCTCCTCCTGTTCATCCCTTTCTCTCTGTTCTAACACGAGGATTTTTAATTTTTTTTTAATAAGTTTGGGTACAATTTCGGTTTTAGCTGGATAATTCTCACACTTTGCTGAAGCCTTTAGCAGTGTCAGAGGGGCAATATTGTCTCTGACAAGGTGCACAGGGACACAATGCCTCCCTGTGATAATGAGGGTGCTTCAGCAGCCGTTCTGTGCTGGATGGTGGCACAGAGCTCTTCCTTTCCCCGCAGGCAGCTCGTGGGGAGGTTTCACACCTTCCTCTGCTGTATTTACACCTCCACTGTTTGTTGTCTCGGGTTATAGAAATGGCAGCAGCCTCTCGTGCCTGTACCCAGAGAATTAAACGAATTTGCAGCGCAACCTGCTGGGAACTTCCAAGGGGACAAACCCATTGTTGCACACCCACAAGCAGCAGAAAATGAGGAATTGGGTCTTTTTGGGTCTCTGCAGCATTGATGCCTTGAAGTCGTTGCTATTGAAGTTGTCCAGCTGAGCACTTTGTGTCACTCTCAGCTACAATCACCGTGCTTTTATGGGGTTTGAGCCATGACTGCACAACGCACCCTTCTCGTGAGGCTTTTGTTTGGCATTTCACGTTCCTTAACCAAAATGGATTAACCGCCAGCCTTGCACGGGTTTGCAGAGCTGGCGGTGTCCGCGGCCGCTCCGAGCCGGGCAGAACCGGGCGAGTCCCGCTCGGAACGAACCAAAGCCGGCCCAGCTCCGTGACTCACATAACCGTCCTCAGCAGGCACGGGGCACCGCCGGCCAGCGATTCCCCGCCAGTTATTCGGAGCACGCGAGACACGCGGGGCGTGGAGGGCAAGTATGTGGGTTATGCGCAGCCGCGCTGTGCCCGCTGTGAGAGCGTTCATTAATTGCGTTAATGGCGTTAATTGCGGCCGGGGCCCGGCGGGGGCGGGGGCGCGGACCCCGCTCGGCGCCGCGGGGGCTGCCGGGAGCCGCCCGCTGTTATTGTCCCGCAACATGCAAATGAGCCGGGGCGGGGAGCCAATGGGGGGCGGCCGCGGGCCGCTACCGCGCACGCGCGCCGGGAGGCGGGGAGGGGG